TTTATTTTGCTTATTGTTAATATTAGTGTTGTTGCTGTTGATGCTTTTTATAAATAAAATGTTTTTTTATTGTTGTAATATGAAGATTAAATTTAACATGAAAGACTGCTAATTTTCAACACTTAAAAAAAAAAAGAAAATAATGACTGAAAAGAGGAAAAACCAAAGTGAAGTATGTTCTTACTTCACTCAGTCATTTATTTACTTTATAACAGTAAATAAATATCGGTTCTGCATATCGGTTATCGGGCACCTAAACATGCAAATAATTGGTATCGGTTATAAAAAATCAATATCGGTCGATCACTAATTTTAATAAACTAGTAAGTTGCTTTTTAATTACTACAATTTAATTTACAATGAAATCCAGAAAAATGTAAGCTGAATCCAGAATTTACAACGGAAAAAATAAAAATAAAAAAAAAGATTTCACAGGGCACGTTGTTAAATTGTAAAGTTCAGTAACATTTAATTTAACTATTAAAACAAAATAAAAACTAAAACAGAATATGGGAAAATATAAAACAGGACTTATAAAACTCTTTTGAATGTATTTTTGATATTAAACTTCTACTAAATTGTTGTTTAGTTGTTTAATTTTCATGATTTAACAATCAGACATGCTTTTTGATTAACAACAAGCATCACTCTCACCGTGTCGACGACGGACCAGTCGAGAGGGTAGTTGAAGAGCTCTGGTTTAGCCGTGGGAATCTTCTCGATCAGACTCTTGATGTGTTTGCGCTTCTCTTCTGTATTGACTCCTTTGCCGCCGGCCGCCATGCTCATGTCTACTCCCTTCTCCTCATCCTCGTAGTCTAAAGGCACCAGCTTCCTCTTCCGAGGTGCCTCGTCCACCTCGTCATCGTCAAAGCGGTTGAAGACGCTCTCCACCACCAGCTTCTTCCGCTTGGCTACGCTGGGCTGTCCTGGGCTACCGCTTGAACCTTGTGATGGGATAAAAACAAACTGAGCCAAATATCACTAAGAACTAGTTTTATTTGTTATACGATATATTGTTGTATAATATATATTTGTTGTTACTAGTGTTGTCAAAAGACCCAGTACTTCGGTACCAAGTCGGTACTAAAAAAATGAAAATGTTACGGTACCAGGTTTTTTTAAGTACCGGTGGTACAGAGTACCCGGTCAACCCGGTTCTTGATGCGCTATCCGAAAGGTGCGCAGATGTGTTCGCTTTATAAAAGCAAAGAGACATGGTGACCTCAAAATTAGGAAACACATCAAACTCGCAAAATACTTTAAAGACAGACACCCAGATCAAATGAAAGAGTTCAAGCAGGTAAGTTTAATTTTAATTTGTAATATTTAGATCTTCTCAGTGTTTCTCATACATTGATTTATTTGTGGCGGCCCGCCACAATCGCCACAAACAGATTTTCCAAAAGGCTTTCATTGAATAAACGTGAGCACTGCACGTGTCAAAGTCGAAACCCGGTGTGGGTGTTTTTATATCACTGTATTTGTGAAGGAAACCAGCTGTCTTCAGAAAATTATGGATGTCATTTTCATTTCATCTTGCATGTAATGTCTGATAAAGCAGCGTTTGTGAGCTGAGCACTGCTTTGTGTGCAGCCGTTACCGGGGAAACCTTGATCTCTCCCGCTCTACAAGCGCCTCCTGCTGGCAGAGAATTAATTTGCATATATATGCCGCCACAAATAGAGTGCAAGTCTGTGGGAAACACCGCTTCTGTTATGAATATTATTCGATATTTTAATTTGAATGTCGGATTGAAATGAACATCACTGTCTTATTAGAGTAGTTAATCGTTAGCATAAGCGCAGCTAACGCTAATATAATGAGCATTAGAATTAAGTTTCTTTATTAACCATTTAATGCTCCTATAAATTTTATTAGGGTAAAAAAAACAGGAGGACATGTTTGATGATATTTACTATTTTTACACACCAGAGGCTTTAATTGTGAATCTAAAATATGCGTGTTAAAGAATGTACAAATGGTTAACATTGTTTGT